TCCACTCAGTGATCTGCCTGCTTCTCTACATCTGGAGTGCTGGGATTAAAGGTATGAGACTCCCCCTACCATATAGCTCCCTAATCCTTCTTAAGTGTAAGGACTGTGTTCTGGCCCGCAAGGATGGGGACAAGCAGCAAGCCATGGTGAACTGCTTCCCAGCACCATGGTTTGGGTTCTGTCTTTCCTTAGCAGCCTAAGGGCCACCTGGACGCCGAGAGGAGTTTGCAAGGCCTCCTGAACACTTGTGAACATTCTAAAGCAGCCCCCTCCGCTGAAGCCTGGCAGAGGACTGGCTAGGACAGCCCCACCTAGCTGCTGACACACCAATGCCGCCCAAAACGAAACTCAGCCCATACATAACTGCGGTGATACACTTGAGTGGGGACCAATAAAGACACAGACGACTGGAGCCTGGCAGCGGACCATCGCCTGCGGTGGGCCACTGTTCAGACTGTCACCTGCAGGTGCCACAGAACACCGGGGGCCCATGGCACGGGGCACCCTGAGTCACTCAACCAAGGCCACTTCGCTTAGACACAGCTTTTCCTCCAAAGTGCACTTCTAATACCAAAGGCTTCCCATGTAGTCCGCAGGAGTAGCCCGGACCCTTCTGCACCATGCCAGCCCAGCAGCAGGTGCTCAGCCCTGCCCATCCCCTCCTTCAGAAGACACTGGACCCACAGTCCTCCAGACTCGGCTTCATCACCTCCAGGCCGCGCCCCTGCCCCGCCTGCCGAGGAGCCCGGACACTCCACCGCTAGTAGGCGCTGCTCAGCTCAGACCCGGTTCACTGGCCCAGCCCACAAACCTCAGGTCCCGCCCCTGCCGTACCTCTGGAGAGATCAGGATTCTTCTACACCCAACCAAGGCACACCTCTCCACACCCTCGGGACTCAACAACACCCTCAACCCGCAGTCCTCTGCAGACCACGCCCACTTACACCCCGCCCCATCTCTTCCAGTGTCCTTTCCCCTCGACCGACCCTGCCTTCCTAAAGACCAGGACCTTCCCTCACCCAACGCGTCCCTCCCCCACTCTGACACCCTGCCCTTCCCAACACCGACTACGCCCACCCAGGCAGGCGCCACCCATCCCCTCCAGGCTCCGCCTACTTTCTAATAGCAGCTAGGCTGCTTGATTCCCGCCCCCAAGCAAACCGTGACACGTGACACGTGTTAGTTTCGCCAACTAGCTCCAGGCCCCTCCCCGACAATAGATGTCAGCTCTTTAACAGGTCCTGCCCCTTGTCCCGCCATCTCAGTTAGGCTCCGCCCTCCCACCTACCGGCGGTGGAAGGAGTTGGGCCACGAGCGCCAGGACTTCAGGAGCATAGACCACTCGGTGGGCTCCGGGTCCGAGTGGAAGCGCCGCCGGATGCGGATGGGGCGCCGTGGCTGCCTCCACAAATGCTTCGGGGGCCGTGGGACTCCTGCGCGGCTGACACCCAGGGTCTCCATGCGTGGCCCCCCAAAACCAAGGAAAGGAAAGAGAGACCGTGGGTGGCCCCGGGAGGGGCTGTGTCCAGAGCCGGGATCCCACCCCAAGAAGCCTCCCTCTCCGCGGTGCTGAAGCCAGGCAGGAAAGATCACAGGACTCAGATCTGAAGCTACCCCCACTGGTCACGGAAGCTCCTGGCCTCTTGAGCAAGAAGCCTCCACTCAGGGTCCGTTCCCTGGAGACACACCGCAGGCTCGTCAGCATACTCAGAGAGGCAGGCTTGCAGGTCCAGCCCCAGCCATCGGAAGAGGGGTCCCAGGAAGACGGCAAAATTGGAGGTACCTCCACCCCCCTACACACACACACACACACCGCCCAGACGTGTGCACACAAGATCACAGGCCAGAGATCCCAGGCACTAAAGGCAGAGGCCAGAGGGGAAGCCAGTGCTAAGAACTCTAAGCGTGTCCCCACCCTGGAGTTAAAGAGTTAGATGAAGACCCACCTTGCCTGCGCTCTCAGGGCAGCCAGCAGGACATGGCAGACACCCGGGTCTTTATAGCCCCACGGTACCCAGATCCTCGACAGGACACGAGATCTCATTGGTCCCAAGACACCCCAGGGCTCCACCTTGCAACCAGGATTCCTGCCTGGTGTTAGCCTCCCATTCCCACTCACCACCCCTCCTAGTCTCAGGGGGAATTGCCCGGAGAGTGGCGGAGAGCAGCGAGGACAGTTCCCACCCTAATAACAGAAGTGTAAGTGTGTAGGCAGCACATTGGGCTGAGTGTGGAGCAGGAGATGGCCAGGGCAGTGCCATGCCTCAGGCCTGAGGGAGTCTCCCGAGGGCACTGTGCTGGGAAGGAACTGGCAGGAACAGGCCTCGGGAGCTGTTATGAGAGGATGTGACATGGAAACCATCTCCAGCTCTGCTCCTTCCCCAGACCCAAGACACAGGGAGCCAGCCAGGAGGTGCAGTCTATGCAGGCACTTACCACAAAGACTGAGAACCTGACCTTGGTCCCTGAGACCCACATGGTGAAAGAAAGACAATCTCTGCCGTGCTGTGCTCTCTCTCTCCCTCTCTCTCTGTCTCTCTGTCTCTCTCAAATAAAATTCCTTTGAGGAATTGTGTGCCAGGTGTTCTGTAGGCTTGAGGGAATACTCTCTCTCTCTCTCTTTCTTTCTCTCTCTCCCTCTCTCTTCCCCCCTCCTCCCTCCTTCTTTCTCTCTCCTTTGGTTGAGTTTTGGTGCGTGGTTGGAATGAGAATGGTTGGTCTTCATGGGGATCCCATGCTTGAGTGCTTGGTCCCCAGCTGGTGGAGTTTCTTGGGAAGGATTAGGAGGATTAGAAGGATTAGGTGAAGTTGCTTGGGAAGGATTAGGAGGTGTGGCCTTGGAGGAGCTAAATCACTGAAATAAGCTTTGAGATTTCAAAAGCCCAGGCCAACCTGGCATGGTGGTGCATGCCTTAGTCCCAGGACTTGGGAGGCAGAGGCAGATGGATTTTTGTGAGTTCAAGACCAGACTGTTCTGCAGAGAGTTTCAGGAAAGCCAGGGCAACGTAGTGAGACAACTGTCTCACAAAAGAAACAAACAAAAAGCCCAGGCCAGGCACAGCCTTTATCTGTTAGCCTCCTGCTTGAGGATCAGATGTATGCTCTCAGCTACTGCCCCAGCACTAGGCCTGCCTGCCAGCTGCCACTGTGCTCCCCACCATGATGGTGCTCCTTACTGTGATGGCTGTAGACTACCCTAGACTATAAACCAGATAATAAATGTTTTCTTTTCTGAGTCACCTCAGTCATGGTGTCTCTACACAGCAACAGAACAGTGACTGAGACAGTATCTCACTTTCTAGCTCAGGCTGGTCTAGAACTCACTATATAGACCAGGCTGGCCTCAGACTCACAGAGATCCTCTTGCCTCTGCTTCGTGGTGATGGGATTAAAGCCATGCACCTCCTGGAGGTTTTTTTGTTTTTTGTTTTTTTTTTTTTAGTTTTTCGAGACAGGGTTTCTCTGTAGCTTTGGAGCCTGTCCTGGCTCTTGTAGCTCTTGTAGACCAGGCTGGCCTCGAACTCACAGAGATCCGCCTGCCTCTGCCTCCCAAGTGCCGGGACTAAAGGTGTGCGCCACCACCGCACGGCGACTCCTGAAGGTTTTGACCGTCACTTGGTCCCTCAGTCTCCCATCCCATCCCAGGTAACAGTGCTAAGTTGCTCTTGGGAAGTGGGGGGTTAAGCATGATTCCCATGCCCCTTGGCCTCACTGCAAAGATGAAAACAGATATTACATGTGACCACAGAGCTCTCAAAGCCACCGTGACACTCCCACCTTCACTGGGGGCCACCATGATAGGCCATACACGGGTGCCCCCACCCAGACTCTGTTGAGCCCAATCCTGGGTCTGTTTCCACCCCAGCCTGAATGCCAGTTCTACCCAGCAGCCCCTGAAGTGAGGCTGACCTTGTACTCTTGATTCTCCTGCCTCCACTCCCCTCCCAAATGTCATCACACCTGGTTTAAGTTATAGCCCTTTATCATCCAAAATCTAGCCCCAGGCCTACAGCACTTTGTCCTGGCTAGTCCTATGTCATCTTGACATGATCTGAAGTCAACAGAGAGGAGGAACCCTCAGCTGAGAAAGAGCCCCCATAAGAGCTGACTGTAGGCAAGCCTGCGGGGCATTTTCCTAACAGGTGGCTGGTGGGGAGGAACCAGCCGAGTGAGCCAGGAGGAACAAGCCAGCAAGCATCTCCCTCCATGGCCTCTGCATCAGCTCCTTCCATTTGAGTTCCTGTCCTGACTTCCTTTGATGAGGAACAGTGATGTGGAAGTGTAAGCCAAATATACCCTTTCCCCCCAGGTTACTTTTGGTCATGGTGTTCCTCACAACAATAAAACCCTAATTAAGAAGGGCTCTAAATTTTTAAATAAAAAGTGGCATTTGTCTATTGATGTCACTTCTGGGGCAGTAGGCACACATGCATGCTGTAGCTCACATGAATAAGTCAGAGGGCAAGTTGTGAGAGTTGGCTCTCTCCCTTCCACTGTGTGAGTCTTAGGGATCAAACTCAGATTGTCAGGCTTGTAGGTCAGCACCTTTACCCACTGAGCCATCTTTGCCGGCCCAGAGATTCTTTTATTTATTTATTTTTTAAGACTGTAGGCCAAACTGGACAGGACTCACCATTTTCCTGCTCAGTCTCTCAAGACCTGAGCAACAATGCCCACCTGGTTTGGAGATTTTTAAAAATACTAATATGGTCAAACTGGTGCCAATTGTTGTAGCACCCCCTCCCCAGGTCTTGGGGTGTCCATCCCCTGCCTACGTCCCTGGGCCCTTCCAGAAAAACTGATTTGGCAGCTTCTGCTCCACCGGCTAGGTAAGTCTTTCTCTGGCACTGTCTAGACAGCCGTGGCCAACCTGAGTATGGCCGCCTCTTTCCCAGCCCAGAGTGTCCCCGGAACAATGTGGGCATTCACCTCCTGTCCCAAGCTAACCATGAGGGCTTAGGCAGCACACTCTGCCTCCTTGGGCACAACTGGCTCCTCACCTGCTCTGAGTTGGGCCCTGGCTTCTCTCGATCCCTCGAGTTCCGATGGTGAAAACCACATGGGCATCAGACTCTGCCTCCCCTGAGGACGTGAGGGGGCTGGACAGAGGGGGCAGCAGCAGGGTCCCTGAGAAAGGTCTCCGGATCATACCTCCATCTAGGGCGCTGGCGGGGGCTGTTCCAGAATCCACGGGCTCCTGGACTCGCTGGGGAGGCAATGAGATGTCATGAGCAAGACCCTGTGCCGGTTTATTTCCAGGGGACCCTGAGCTTCACAGAACTCTCCCCAGAACCAGCACCCAGATTCCCTGAGCTCAGTGTGTGTGTGTGTGTGTGTGTGTGTGGTGGTGGTGGTGGTGGTGGTGGTGGTGGTGGTGGTGGTGGTTTTATTGCATTTAATTTTTATCAGTTTATTTGTGGGGAGCTTACCCCTTACACAGTCCACAGATAGAGGTCAGAGGACAAATATCAAGAGCTGGTTCTATCCTTTCAGCCTGTGGCCCCCTGGAACTGAACTGCAGGCAGGCATCTCCTCAATCCTACACTTCAAAACAAAACAAAGCAAAACAAGAAGCTTTTGTGGCGCTAGGACCACAACCTGTCCCTCACTCATGGTCACTGGATGCTGAGATTTGAACGCAGGGTTATGGGAGCCACGAGCTGGGCACACTCCATTTCTGGGACTCAGGATGGCAGGGAGCTGTCCAGTGCTGACCGCAGCGGGCCTTCCGGGAAGGGTGCGGTCGGTGGGGACCAGGCGGCGACTCAGTCCTCTGCTGCTCTTTCCTGAGTAAAGTGGGGAAACTGAGGCCTGACACGCAGCCTCGGCCAGAGCAGGCCCACGGGTGGGGAAGGGCGAGAACAGACAGCGGCTGAGCCTGGTGGTCAGCTGAGCTGTGGTCTGGGCGCAGGACAAGGCTCCTCCCCGCTTTGGACCGTCCGGGTCACACCGGCCGAACTGAGCCTCTCTCTACTTTACGCCCCGATCTCACCATTATAGAGAGCCTTCCCCATTTTCAGCAGAAGGCCTGGGGGCGAGGCCCGGGAAAAGTCGGGGTGGGTCTCAGGGACGGAGCTGGGCGGGGCTCAGAGAAAAGTCGGGGGCGGAGCCCAGGGGAGTGGGGGGAGCTTGGGACGGGGCCCAGGGAAAGTACGGGGAGGGTCTCAGAGATAAGTCCAGGCTGGGGCTCAGGGAAGGGCCTTGGTGTTAGGAATATTTCCTAAACGAGCTCTCTGACGACGCAAAAATTCCCAACCAAGCCAAATCAAAACAAGCAGAATTAAGAAATATCCAGGTTTAATGGGAGATCTGCGCTCTCGGGTGGCCCCGAGGGGGAAACGGGAAGCGACCCCCGGGAGGAAGAAAGGGGGACCACGTGTTTTTCTTTTGGGGGATCACCTAAATACCCTGGGGAGTGGTCCTGACCCCTCCCTGGGGGTGGCCTGCTGGGATTTGAAGTCCAGACCAGGTGGCTGAGATAGATGCCAGGGACCGGGGCCTAGGCTCCCAACCTAACACTTGGGACGGGGCTCAGGTTCTGTATTTTATTCTGGAAGTACTATTTGGGGATTTTTTGTGCCGTCCAGAGCCTTGTATACACTAGACACGCAACGCCCCCTAGGGTGCTCCTTGGCGGGTGTGGCTGCTTTGGTCACGCACTCTCCGGGTTGCTGGGAATGGAGTCAGAGCTGGGAGCGTGCTCACCCGAGCTCCTGGTTTAGAGATGGAGATGGTGAGAGGAAGCGTGGATTCAAGTGTGATCAGGGCTTTTGGACGAGTGAGAACTCCTTCGCCAATCTTAGGAGAGACCTGAGTCAGGCAGCACCGAGCAGACCTGGGCTGGCAGAGCTTCAGGAAACGTGTGAGCCCTGCTGTTGGAGGGGCCTGGCCAGAGGTCCGGTCCTCAGCCGCAAGGGGAAAACAGTCAGGGAGTTTCTAAGAAGTGCTGACCAGGTCTAACCCAGCTACTGGAGGGGTGAGGCCAGAGGCAGAGGCTGCTGGGTCTAGGTAGGAAGCAGCCTGGGGCGGGGAGCAGCCTGGGCTGGGGAGCAGCCACGGGTAGGGAGCAGCCTGGGGTGGGAAGCAGCCTGGGGTTGGAACAGGCTCAGGTGAGAACAGCCTGGGGAGGGAACAGGCTAAGGTTGGAACAGGCTTAGGTGAGAACAACAGCCTGGAGTGGGAACAGGCTCAGGTGGGAACAGCCTGGGGAGGGAACAGCCTGGGTTGAACTTGTCATCTGAGTCCCTGTGTGCTGGAGATTCACCCTGAGCCTGTTGCTTCCTTATTCCTAACCTTCCCAGGATTTTCAGCCCCAGTAGAAAATCCACACCCTCCCCATGGCTCCCAAAGCCCTGTGTCCTCATCTCCTTCCCAGGGCCTGCTCCTGCCCCCCCCCGCCCCGCCCCCGCGGCTCACTGTCCTCCCCCCCCTCAGCCTCACCTCCCCCAGTCCCGCCCCCGCGGCTCATTCCATCCCCCATCCCCCCACACACACACCCGCCCCCGCGGCTCACTCTCTCCCAGCCCCGCCCCCGCGGCTCACTCTTCCCCAGCCTCACCTCCGCCTCACTTACTGCCCTCTCCTCCAGGAACCCCCTCCCTAGTTCTTCCAGTTCTCTCCAGGTCACACACAGTCCCCTCCTTAAGGCATGCCCAGGTATTCATACTATTTTCCCTTTCTTCCGTCTCTCCCTCCCTCCCTCCCTTTCTCCTTCCTTTCTCTTGTTTTCTTTTTCTTTCTTTCTTGGGCAGAGTCTCAAGCAAGCAGTGCACACTTGTCATCCCAGTCCTAGGGACACTGAGGCAGGAGCATTACCATGAGTTCCCAGACAGCCTGGACTGCATAGTGAGATCATGTCCAAATTTAAAAAAAAAAAATGTTTAAGCCATACGCACACACTTTTGAGAGGGGGCTGTTGCTTGTTGTTTTTTGAAACAGGGTTTCTCTGCATAGCCCTGGCTGTCCTACAACTAGCTCTGTAGACCAGGCTGGCCTCAAACTCAGAGATCTGCCTGTCTCTGTTTGCCTTCTGAGTGCTGGGAAAAAAGTGTGTGCCACCATTGCCCAGCAATCCCAACATTTCCAGAGGCAGGTGAATCTCTATGAGTTTGAGGCTAGCCTGGTATACATAATGAGACCCTAACTCATTTTTTTATTTTAATTTTAAGATTGTTTCAATTTGAAAAATGTGGGTCAGTGCAACTAAGGCGCTTGCCACCAAGGCGACGACCTGAGTTCAATCCCTGGGGCCCACACACAGAGAGGAGAGAACCGGCTCCCACAGATTGCCCCCTGACCTCCACAGCACACACCATGGCACCCCACCACCACCACACCCTAAATAATTGTGATTTTTTTTTTATTTTATTTTTTTGGTTTTTCGAGACAGGGTTTCTCTGTGGCTTTGGAGCCTGTCCTGGAACTAGCTCTTCTAGACCAGGCTGGCCTCAAACTCACAGAGATCCGCCTGCCTCTGCCTCCCAAGTGCTGGGATTAAAGGCGTGCGCCACCATTGCCCGGCAATAATTGTGATGTTTTAAAGAGGCTGAGCATGGTGGCATGAGATGCCACCCCAGAGGGGAAGAAGCAAGCAGATGTTGGTGAATTTGAGGTTAGCCTGGTCTACACAGCAAGTACGCTGGAAGAGCCTGTCTCAAAAATAAATAGATAATTTAGCTAACGTCAAAGGCTATCTGGCCAGCATCTGGCCAGCCTTTCAGACTCTTGGGGCTGCCTGCCCTTCTGAGTTCCACAGAAAATCTTCCTGTCTTCCCTCCAGCTCTCCCTGAGAAGTTAACTACAGCCTATGATCTCAGTGCCTCAGTGCAGGAGGTAGAGGCACAGAGACCAGGAGGTCAAGGTCATCTTTGGTTACATTGAAAGTCTGAGGCTAGCCTGGGCAACAAGAGACCCTGTCTCACTGGGGAAATACACACACACACACAAATGAACAGTAAATCTAAAACAATGAAGGTGGTTCTGGAAAGATGGCTCAGTGGTTAAGAGCACTGGCCTCTCTTCTACAGGACGGTGTTCTGTTCCCAGCACCACATGTAGGCTCACACCATCTGTAAACTCCCACTTCAGAGGATCTAACGCCCTCTCCTGTCCTCAGGAGGCACTGCGGCAGGACCCCTATACACATGAAATAAAAAAACAAAAACAAATGAAAACTATCTTGCATTCGGGCTGTGGGTTTGGTTCAGTGGCTCCCCAGAATCCCGGGTAGTCCCCGGCTCCATGAGCTCATGGAGCAACTCTGAGCCTTCCAGAGCAGGAACCTCAGATCCCGGTTCCCCCATGAGCCCAGACCAACCAAGGCTCTCACCTCGGCCAGCAGGAAGGACGGTGCATGCCACTCTGCCTCATGATGTAGGTTTCTCTAGACGGGGGAGGGGTCAGTAAGACCCTAAAGCCACACCGGCATGGGCAGCCAGGCAACACTGCCTGGAGAGATTGTGCAGACATCCAGCCTTCCCCTCGGCACCCTTCCCGGACAGCCCTAGGGGCTAGAAACCCTGGTGCCAGGTCAGCTTCCCCAGATAGAAGACTCTGTCACACTGACACGGATCTGGTACTCACCGCAAGCTGCCCTTGTGAGGAACTGTGGCACGTGTGTTCTGTGACTGCCTCAGGAGCAGAGGACAGACCTGTCCCAGTAGACCCAAGCTGAGCCAGGTGGCACACTCAGGATTGGAGGAGGGGGTAGGGCAGGGTGACCACAAGGGCCGGAAGTTGTGTGAGCACCCACGTGTGACCAAGTGTGTGACCCCGGGAAGCAGAGACAGAGTTGGAGGGAGGCGTGGTGAGTGGCCAGGCAGAAGGTTGATGGAGGATGGAAATAGCCCAGAGTCGGCATTTCAGAGGTGCCAATCAAGGCCCTCAAGGCTCTGGGAGAACTGTTCCGCTCTGCTGTGCTGCTCTGGACAGCTAGCGACTTCTCAGGACAAACTTTATCCACAAGCTAGAGCTGCAGTTGGAAGTGGGGAACCCAGAGAGCTGGGGCTGGAAGAGGGACTGTGGCCGGGGCAAAGGGGAACCCAAGGTCACTTTGATCTGTGGCTCTGAACCAAGTTAATATTTCACCCTAGCCTCCCGCAGACTGGCCATTAGGTCTCCCTCCAGCTACTCCAGCAGTCGTCAGTGAGCAGCCTATCTGGTGAGGGTCGGGGACTTTTCTTCCTTATGCTGATTAAGGACCTCACCCACAGCACAAGGGCAGGCCCTAAATCTTCTGCCAAAGACACCAGTGGTGTGTTGGAAAAGCTGGCTGCCTGGAGGTCCCCACCACGAGCTGGAGCCCCTGCTGCGGTCTGTTGGCACCTCCTGCCCCAAGAGGCTTGAGGCTTGCTGTTAACTTCATCTTCTTCCAACCATCAGGAGCCCCTCCTCCCTTCACAGCTACACAAGCCTTGTGCTCTTCAATGTTAAACAAGTCCGTGTGTCTCCTACCACAGGGCCTTTGCTAGAGCTGTGTGAGCATCTTAAAGTGATGTGGGTTTGTGGCTTTCCCCAGTCTGCTTCCCATTAGGTTTAGGTCATCTATGTCCTTAGAGAGTGGCCACACAAGGATGCCTTCTGCCCTGCGGTCCCATCTAAGTGCTCCCCCACCCTCCAGCCATCACCCCCAGGAGCGCAGACACAGGGTCACCTGTGGGACTATGGCCTACGGTGCATAGGAGCTAATTACTATTGGTCGTGTGGATGCATGGCCCAGGAAGCATGTATGAACACTAAGGACTTTATTTAGTTTATATTTATTTTTTAAATGTGTTCTGCCTGCATGTATGCCTGTGTATCTATCACCGGCGAGTCTGGTGACCGCAGAGGCTGAAAGGGTGTCAGATCCCCGGAACTAGAGTCATCGGTAGTTGTGAGCTGCCATGTGGGTGCTGGGAACCCTGCTCCTCTGCACAAGCAGTCAGTGCTCCTAACCACTGAGCCATCTCTCCAGCTCCCCAATTTTTTCTTTTATTAAGACAGAGACTCATGTAGCCCAGGCTGGCCTCAAACCCCCTATGTAGCTAGACTTGAACATCTGACCCTGCTGTCTCTACCTCCCAAGTGCTGGGTATACCCATCACCCCTGGATTGACTTGATCTTTGAGTTGAGGACTAGATGTGTGGGCCAAACTGTCCTGAAATTCCTGGACCCAAGCCATTCTCCTGCCGCAGGCTCCTCCCCAGGTCAGTGCAGTGGGGACTTTCCCAGCCACTGCTTTTCCCAGGTGTTATCCCCACCCCATCTCCAGGCCTCTGAGAGTCAGGACTGTAGGTGGTCAGCAAATGGCAGCCTCTGGCTCACACTGCCCTAGAAGAGGAACAGGCATGGGTTAGCATTGAGCAGCACAAGGCTTTACTGAGGTGAATGTCTAATGAGAAGCCACCCAACCCCGAGGGCGCCTGTCTCACCATGGATACTGTGTCCAGATTCTGAAAAGCTGCTGCTTCTCGGTTACAGTGTCTCACAGCAGTGAGCACAGAGCCCACCAGCAAGACAGACACAAGCAGACAGACAGCGATCACCACACCCGGGTTCCTATGTGCTGTGGGGATCCACAGGCTGTCTGCATCTGGAGAGAGGAAAGGGTCAGCCCTGGCCAAAGCCACACCCCCAGTCCCTCGCTGGGGGATTCCTGGTGGGGGCTCCACTCCTGAGGTACACTCCAGGGCCTGTGCTATTACTTTATAAATAAATATATAATTTCATGTGGGGTGTTCTTTTTCATTTGTTTTTCCTTTCTTTCTTTCTTTTCTTTCTTTCTTTCTCTTTTTTGAGACAGGATTTCTCTGTGTAACAGTCCTGGCTGTCCTAGAACTAGCTCTTATAGATCAGGCTGGCCTCAAACTCACTGAGATCCTCCTGTCTCTGTCTCCCAAGTGTTGGGATTAAAGGCACACACCATCTCCATCTGGCTTGTTTTTCTTTTTTTTAAGATGGGACCCACCATGTGGCCCAGGTTGATCTCAAACTTGAGGTAATCCTTCTGCCGCCTTCTCCTGGTATTAGGAATACAGGACTGGGCCACCGCAGGCAGCTACAACTAGATAGTGCAACCTATCTTTCTTGCAAATAGCTGTGACCTCAGGAGCCAGCACACACTAGTGAGTTAATAAGGGCACAAACGGGCTGAAGAGATGGCTCAGAGGTCCAGAGTCCTGAGTTCCATTCCCAGAAATCACATGGTGGCTCACAACCATCTGTAATGAGATCTGGTGCCCTCTTCTGGCCTGCAGGCATACATGGAGGGAGAACACTGAATACTATGAACAGAAGGGTTGAAGTGGACCCACACACTCCCAGGTCTGTGTCGCCCCCTGATGACTGGTGCCAGAACTGCAGCCAGGTTCCAGTCCTGTCCCCCATGTGGGGCGCCCCCCCCTCCCCGCCTTCCACTCACCCTGGCTGGGGCTGGACACAGTAGGTGAACCCTGTGGAAGCAAGCTTGTGAATTGGGATATGGTGGTCGGCTCAGAACCTGGGGAGCCAGAGCTGGGGAGAGAGGCTGTTTCTGGTTCTGGGGAGGCTGAGCCTGAGTTTGCTCCTGTGGAGCTGGAGCTGGAGTCTGGATTGGATGTCACTTTCAGACTCAGGGAGATGGAGGAGACAGATGTGGTCTCTGGACTTGAGGTGGAGGAGACAGATGTGGACTCTGGACTTGAGGTGGAGGAGACAGATGTGAACTCTGGACTTGAGGTGAAGGAGACAGTCGTGGACTCTGGACTTGTGGCAAGTGATTCTGCTCTTTCTGTTTCCCAGAAAACTGAAAAGGCAACACCTGGGGGGGAGGGGGAATGGAGGTAGGCGGGGCAGTGGTGGCGCACACCTTTAACCTCAGCACTGGGGAGGCAGAGACAGGCAGATCTCTGTGAGTTCAAGGCCAGCCTGGTCTACAGAGCAAGTTCCAGGACAGGCTCCAAAGCTACAGAGAAACCCTGCCTCAAAAAAAAAAAAAAAAAAAAAAAAAAAACCAACCCAAACCAAAAAACAAGGAGAGGTGTTTAGGGTAGCGGGGGGGGGGGGGGGGGGTGGGAGGGTGGTCTGCTCATGGTTTGATCTCAGTCCTGCTCAGCTTGTGAAAGCCTTTTTTTTTTTTTGGTTTGCTCTGCCTGATGCTCAGATCTGGGCTGGAGTGCCACCTGTTAGGAGGCAGGCACTGACTGTGACTCCCGCTTTACAGAAGAGGGAAACTGAGTCTCAGCTCGATTCCTCAGGAGAAGGTACCACCCCATCCAGGTTTCTAGAGCTTTGAGAACTGAGGAACTCTGATCTATACTAGGATTTGAATTCTGCCCCAAATGCTGGCCACAAACTCTACCATTGAGACACACCCCAGCCCCTGCCAATCAGCTCTTTAACCCACACACTGTGTCTGGAGGAGTTCAGAGACCGTGGAAAGAGTTCCTGATCCACCCTCTACTCTATGACTTCCTTCCCAGATCCAGGTGGCTCCAACCGGGTATACAGGGTACAAGGTCACTCATGGTGGCTTTGCCCCTCCCATGCCCTTTCTTCCCACGATGGATGATCACTGTTTCCTCCTAGCCTCACCCCACACAGTAGATATGAGGAAATAAGGTCTCTGTGCTGCCCTGAGTGCAGGGAGCAGCGCTGAGCTGAGTCCTCCCACTCCTCAGTCTCCCTGGCCGAAAAGCATCTAGGAGTGTGAGTCGCCGTTGGGAAATCTCTGGGAGAGTGAAGTTGGCTCAAGCCCCATAGCCGACCCCAATCCAAACTGGAACTCTGAAGGAAACTAAGGTCCTGGGTGAACTGAAGAAACCAGAGAGTTTAGAGGGGCGGCAAACACCGAGCCTATTAAGTACCTAGCACTGAGCAGGTCTCACGGTTTACTTGAAAGTAACACACAGAGTAGGGCTGTTCTGGGCAGTGTGCCTGGCATCGGACTTTCCCTCAGTCTCCAAAATGGAAGTCTGGCGGGTGCCAATCCCTGTTAATCGACCCTAATAAGGTCGTCCACAGGTTGGAGCCAGCTCGGCTTCCAAAGATAAATGTGGCACTTTTGGAAATGAAACCATCACCTACAATAAACTCAGCCGTCTCGGGGGTAGCTGTGGGGCCACTGACTTCTAGTTGAAGCCCGATCCCTTGCCCTTCCCACTACCTGGGATGGGGGGGGCGTCCTCACTGAAGTGTCAGGGAGGTCACTGGCCTGTGTCCCAGCTCAGATGCCCCTCAGGGGTGGGTACCAACCCTGCTGGTGTCTGGGAGGGTCCGAGCCCTGTGCCCCCAGCCCCGCTGTCTCCCGGAGTCACGCCATTTTCCTCCACCAGCTTACCTGTGACTACAAGGACGACAGAAGAGTCTCTGGGTCTCACTAGGAGCAGCACGGCCAGCGCCAGCGGCAGTAGCCCGGAACCCGCCATTCCCGCCGAGCACCCAGGCTGCAGGTGCGCGGCCAGGTGGTAGATCGCCCGCGCGCCCCCTACCGGCGAGAACGGGGTGCGCAGGGCGCTGGGCTCCCTTCCCACCTTCCCTGTCCCCAGCCACTCTGGGACGGCCCTTCTACGGTCGCCCCAAACCTGAGCTGAAAACCCTTGTCTCTGGCTGCCAGGATCCTCCAGACTGGGGCTGAGGATGCCTCTGTCTCTCTCCGGCTCACCTCACCAGTGGATACAACTAGAACCTTCTAGCGGTTTCAGAAGGAGGTACTCTCAAGAGGAAGCCTAAGTGGGTTGGGCCTGGCCAGGCATGTTTTCACTGTTTGGTTGTTGATCTTTGTTTTTCAGATATGGTCTCACCATATATCCCAGGCTGGCCGAAAACTCCTGAGTCTCCTGTCCCCACCACTGGTGCTGAGGTGACAAGCGTGTGCCATCACACCCAGACAGACGCGGGAGTGTGTATGTTTGTGTGCATGTGTGTGTGCATGCTATGTGTGTATGTTATATATGTGTGCCTTGTGTGTGTGTGTGTGTGTAAACGTGTGTGTGTGTGTGTGTGAGAGAGAGAGAGAGAGAGAGAGAGAGAGAGAGAGAGAGAGAGTGTCCTGGGGGCTGTGTCAGTTCTTCCCGTCATGGGGAAGACAGGTTTAATAGCAAGCACCTTTACAGGAGGGGTCATCTTGCTAGCCCCAGATAAGCCACGCCATTAGCTATGTGACACACAAGATTCCACGCTAGTGACCTGTACACCCTGGAAAATAATTGAGGTTCCCTAACCCTGGCTGCAGATCCCACAGGGGCTGGAGCTACTGGGATTCAAGCCTCTGGCATGCTAGACTTTCCCGTTGTGTTTTAACTCAAGACACGTGACCAGGGCAGGCTGTAGTGCACTGTATTCATAAGAACCACAAGACACCACGGCCAGCAAGAGTCTCTGCCCACAGCCAAGCTCCTAGACATCAGGCCAGTGCAAGGAGTAAGCCCTCGAGGTACGGCGTGAAGTCTCCCTGGAGATATTCCACGGGCCTCCTGTCCCCAAGAGGGCATCCGTGGTGAGGCAGCTGCGTGTATAATGTCCCCTCCATGTGGCCTGAACCATCTTGGCTGCAGACTGTTGCTGGCTCAGCTGTCGGCGGGTCCGGTAGCCCTTCCAGGCCGCCTGAATGAGAGTGGCCGCTCTGTGCTGCTGGCTGAGCAGGGGACACTGAGCAGGGGGCACTGCCCAGCGAGAGCCAGACTGACCTGAGATGCCCTGGCCAAAGCCCTGCACCACGCGAGTAGACAGTGTGTGGCCACACACGTGGCAGGTGCGTGGCTGGGACCCCACGAGCATCACAACACTGGGTGGACTCGCCACCCGAGGACCCAGGGCCTGGCAGACGCTGCAGACATTGGGTTGACAGGACAGGAAGCAGCGGTGCTCAGAGCTGTTCCTGGTGTCAGAGGTCCCCTGGGCTCTGCCACGGTGCTCAGGCCACGTCGTAGGGAGCAACACCTGGTGGGCCCGGTCACGGCGAGTGCAGTAGCCACGCCAGGCTGCCTGGATGACGGTGGTGGCCCTGAGCAGCCTCGCCAGGTTTCGTCGCACACGGTAGCCGCGCCACGTAGCTTGGATGACGGTGGCCCACTGATGCCACAGCTTCACAGTGCGGCGCACCAAGTAGCCACGTGCACAGGCCTGAATGGTGACGACAGCCTCGAGGACAACTTTCTCCATGGCACGAATTGATACCAGCAGCTCAGCTGAGGGCTTGTGGTCCAGCGCTGCCTCTGCCCCCGAGGGGTCCAAGGGCCTGTGGCCCCTGCTGGGATGCCACGGGCCTTGGGGTGGCCCAGCACTTGCCGCGGCTCTGGCCGATACGTTGGGGACTTTGGAATTCCATGACTGGCCAGCAGCCAGGCCAGCATCCACGGGGCCCTGGGGTACAGTGAGGGGTGGGGATACCTTATTATGGCCAGTTTTAGGGTGTGTGACAAGATGGGGGTTGTGGCCGTGGCGTGTGTAGGCATGGGAGACCAGACCAAAGCCAGTTTGGGGAGTCTGGCTGTGGGCTGTGGTGCGGGCCTGGGATGTCCCGTCCAGGCTTGTTTTGGGCATTGTGATATACTGAAGTCTGTGGCCATAGAGCATGGCGGGGACTTTTCGGGGACCTTTATCAAAACTAGTTTTAGGGACTGTGACATGATATTTGTAGTCATGCGGTGCAGTGGGGATTTGGGAGCCCCCATCATAGTCAACTCCAGGGCCCGTGACAAAAGTGGGCTTCTGACCTGGGTGTGTGATAAGGGTCGGACCTATTCCTGGCTGGCCCGAATGTACGGTGTCATGGGCAGCCTCATCAAGAAGGGGTCTCCGGGAGCCATTTGGTGACATCCCTTGAACTCCTATGCATGTTTTCTGTCCCCTTCCATCTCCCACCATGGGTGACCCCGAGGACTGCTTGTGACTCTCTGATGACAGCTGAGATGCTGGATTCTGTGGGCTACTGAAGGGTAGCAGTCTGCCCATGGAACCTTCTAGAAGTTCTGAGACAAGGCTGCCTTGGATGGAGTGGGAGAACGTTCTAGCGGCAGTGTGGTGCTGGGGTTCTCCCATCTGGGAGACACCGGAAGCCCTATTTTTAGTTGGAGGTGCTAAGTTAGTCCCCCCTGAGCTCTGGAGAATGCTGGGGTCTCCTGCACTGACCTCTGACTCCGGTGGCCACTTGGCTGTGCCAGCAATGCCGGAACTCAGCTGTGGTGGCACCAGGATTACATTGGAAGCTGGAGGTAGGCTTGAACTGCCAACCACAGGGACCTCCTGCAGGCTCGGGTGCCCAGAAGCAGGGTGGATGCTGGGAGGACCACCGCTGCTTTCTGAGGATAAGGGCTGAACAGAGGTGATGCTGTTGGCTTTGGGGTGCTCACCTAAACTTGGGGCCTGTACAGGAACTGGGGTGATACCGCTAGCTCGGCTGGGAGCCTCCTTTGCCAAAGCCGCAAGTTCATGGCTCTCACCTCCCATGGTGCCAAGGCCCATCCTTGGGATGATTTCAAGACCTTCAGATTTGACAGTGTCTATGCCAGACTCCAGGGTCCAGGACACCGTATCATCGACTTCTCTTAGCTTCGGCAAGGTTGGGTTATCAACACCCACAAGCTTTGTCATCCCAGGGTCTTGGCTAAATTGTGAGGCACTTAACAAAACTCTGGGCAAGTGTTGTTGGTCCTGGGCCACTCTCTGGACTTCTGGGACACTGGTCAGGCTGATGACATGGGGCGAAAGGAAGGGAACCCAGGAGCCCTCTCCAGCCTGTGCTGCCTGATATGGCCGTGGACTGATGCCTGCCAGCATGGATGCTGGAGCCACAGAGCCCAGGGACATGCTAGGACCTATCCCATTGGCCACACTACCTGGGTGTGGGCCTGGAGAATGGGACCTTGGCAAAGGTTTCTCCTTACTACCACTGGTCTCTTGAGGGTGACTAGGGGCCATGCCAGTGACCATAGAACTAGGCGGGAGGCTGAAGGCCACATCACCGGCCATAGCATCTTGGTAGGGTCTCCGAATCTCACCGCTAACCACTGATTCTAGAGGTAGATTCTGGGCCTTGACACCCACCATGGACTCTGGGGGGATACTCTTTCCTATGCCCCTGATCACAGACCCTTGAGGAAGGCTGAGAGCCTCACTTTCAACCACAGGCTTGGGCACGTTTCCGTCTACGGAACCCTGGACCAAAGCCCCACCCACAGGAGCCACCGCTGTGTCTGGAAAGACCACACCTACATACTGGCAGCCGGGTGAGACCAAGGTGGCCACAGAGAGGAACTGAGGGTCTATACAGGTCTGAGAGAAGCTGGTGCCCAGCTGGGGTGGGAAGAATTCGGATGGCAGCACAGCTGGGCACAGGCCCTGGCCCACACCTGTAGTCACGACAGCCATGGGGGTTGGGTTCTCCTTCTGGCACATACTCTGCAACAGTCCTGTAGCCAGAGGCCCCTGGGGCATCCCTGGAGCTATGCCCCTGAACCAAGTCTGACATGGGACACTAGCCCCTAAGGCCAGGCCACCATCCTCTGCAGGCACCATGGGCTGAACTACCTGACCTGGGGGCCCCTTGCTGGACTGTGTCGGCTCAGAGTGGACGGTGGCATCCTGAGAGCTGGCCTGGCCTCTGATTTTTTTGTCTCCTGAGCTGTCGCAGACTCCGAGATAGGGCTGGCCTAACCTGCTCACACACGGAGAGGGCATGGAGGGCTGGCTCTGAGCTGCACTGCTGCCCTCACGTGCACACTGCTGGGGGCCCAGAGCTGACTTGCTGTTCCCACGACCCACGCCACACACCACAGTGGGCGGCAGCAGGCTCAGGGTTCCCAAGGCGGCCACAGATGTCTGCACAAGATTAGAGCACAGTCTGGGAGCCAAAAGTGGGGAGCTCAGACTGGGAGGCACCCTGTTGGACAGGGGCATCTGGAGCACTCCAGGGACCAGACCGCTGGCTGAGGTTGGCTGCCTGAGGGCTGGGGATGCCCTGTCGGCCACGGATGCATGGGTTAGGGTTGGGGACATAACACTAACCACAAAAGGCTGAGCTAGGCTTGCAGACACGCTCTGGGGCATGGATGGTTGTACAAAGTTTGGGGTTACAATCGTGGCCAAACAAGGTTGGGTGAAATTTGATGGCAGGCTGTAGGGCATAAATGGTTGGAAAAAGTTCGGGGATACCCCTGTGGCTACAGATGTCTGAGCTGAGTTTGGAGACCCTGCACCCTGTACAGGCATGGGAGAGGATCCAGGAGGTGGCCAGCTGTTCACAGGGGACTGAGTGACACTTGGGGCCCCATGCGTAGTGGCACATAACTGGGCCTGGTTTGAAGCTACCCCACTGTTCACTGCCTGGTTGCCTAAGGCCACTACACTAGTACCAGGTGCCTGGGTAAAGTTTGAGGGTACCCCAGAGGCCATATGTGGTTGGGTATAGATTGGGGACCCTCCACAGTACAGAAATGGCTGATTAAAATTTGTGGGTAACTCATAATATATCAGTGGTTCTCTCAGCGT